CCTCCCAGGAGACCCACCATCTGTCGTAGCTTCTCTGCCTCTCCTGGTTTTACAAAAGTTGGAAAACCCAGGCCCAGAGGGACACAACCCAACCTTGCTGATTTGGTCTACAAAGGATCTGTCAATTTACTTTGCAAAGTAAGCCATTGGTATTCACTTTCTCCTCCTCCTCCTTCTTTTGCCTTCCATTCAGAAATGTCTGAATGATCACTGCTGCTGCGTCAGCCTCTGTGAAATTCTACTCTGTGCTCAATCAAGAGAACAGATGTCCACACACAGAGTAAGCTACAAGAGGGAGTCCATGTCACAAGACCAACTGTCTGACTTAGACGGCCAAAATTCCCAGGCATTTCCACATTTTTATATTGTATTCAGAGAGTAAAACACAAGGCTGATGCTAAGGTCTGAATGTTTGTGTCCTCTCAAAATTCATGTTAAAACTGAACCCCAAGGTGATGGCATTAGCAGGCAGGGCCTTTGGGAAGTGGTTAGGTCACCCTGATGAACGGGATTAGTGTCCTTATAGAAGAGATCCCAGGGAACGCTCTTCCTCCTTCTCCCAGGTAAGGACACAGCTAGGAGGCACCATCTATGAACCAGACAGCAGGCTTTCCCCAGACACTGAATCACCTGGCACCTTGATCTGGGACTTCCCAGCCCCAATAACTGTGAGAAATAAATTTCTATTGTTTATAAGCTACCAGTCAGGGTATTTTGCTATAGCAGCCTGACTACAGCAGCTGGATTAAGGTTGCCATTTAGAGTTATAAGCTTTTTTCAGATGTTCATATAAAGACATTTTACTTATCATTTGTTTTCGTTAAAGTTTTTTAAAGTTACTCAAACTGTGTTCCATGGTGCTTTAATGTAACTTTCTTATTCATTACCCTTATTCATTCCTTGTTCCAGATAAAAGCCTTTGCGAAGGTCACTGTTATGTATTTAGTATATTTAAGAAAACATTGCATGTAAAACTCATTCATTCCTTGCCAAAGTATCCGTGGTTGCAGGAGAAAGAGCCAACGCGGCTACATTTGCCCCGCAGACAAGTGTTTCGTTGCCATTGGGTTCACAACATGCAGGTGCATAACATTCTCTGCCTGCACTTTCCAGGCCTTAACATTCTTCCTTTCTATCACATCTCCTTTCTTTCATTCTTTAAACCTGTGTGAATCCTGCCACCAAGCCCTCTGCTGGGAAAATCCGTCCACTATCTTGAGCTGTAAACTTCCCCTCTGCTACGGAAGGGGAAAGCCCAGCGCTGGGGAACGGGTGTCCGCCAGGGGGAGCCGTGGTTTCTGTCTGCGGACGCGGCGCTCCGGGCCAGCGCCTGGCTGCGACGGCCGCGCGGGGACGCAGTGCGCGCGCCTCACGCGCCGCGGGCTGACTCAGGCTTGCAGGTTGCTGCTGGGGCGCTCCCCTGACTGGGCGCTGCGGCTCGGGAGGTGCCGGCCTGCAGCCAGGGGCACGGGGCCTGGCGCAGAGCCAGGCGACGAGCGACAGGGGCTTCCACCAGCTTGGGCCCCGCGGCCTGCCCCAGCCGGGGGTGGACGGCGCGGCGCCGAGCAGCCAGCACCTGAGCGGGGACGCACTCGGTGAACAGGGTCACAGAGTCACTAATGGCTCCCGCCGCCGCCTCCCGCAGCCGCCCGCGCGGCGGAGGAAATGGACCTGCCAGAGGATTGATCTCCCTGGGAAATGGCTGCGTCGGCGCTGCGGTTCCAAAGAGTCTGGCAGCCTCGCTGCAGTGTCCTTCCAGAGCCATCCCCTGCAAGCACTCATGCCTCTCTGCCCTTTTTTTCCTCTCCCAAAAACAAATTGTTTCTAAATTTCCAGCCAGGGGGCCCTATCCTCAATAGGTCTATCATTCACTGGGGCCCTTGAAATCACGGGTCATTGCAAGCAATTTTCTAAACTTCGTTTTCAGCTGGGGAAACTCCCCAGGGTCTGTGGTTAAGGGAGAGCAGGGGTATTTAAAAGCTGACTCCTGTAACCCACTGCTCTCCCTTCTCCTTTGAAGATAAAGGGTGGGCGGGGTTCTAAACACTGACTAGAGGAAGTCTGGGAATTCTCGGGTCCACGTTCCTGCTAGGGAGTGGCTCGTTGAACGTGAGAGCAGTTACGATGAGCCAGACCCGCGCTAAGTCCCGCACTGAGCGCCTTCCGTGCTCCAAGCAATCTGATCACTCTCATTTTACAGAGGATAAAATCAGGGCTCAGCGAGGCCTGGTCATTTGCCAAAGCTTACATACCTAGGCTGGGCCAGCAGCAGCCCTGTCACTTAACTCCCCGACTGAGGACGGGTCTGAGTCCCCTTAACCTCCACCCAGAGAGGAGAGGTTCCTGGAGAAGTTTAAGAGGTAACAACTCCCCTATTGACGGGGGCGAGGAGTGGGCAAAGTGGGATCCCCAAGAAATTGCCAGACACTTCCGGGTTCAAGAGCGGTTCAAGATTCCTTGTGTATAAAACGAGGAGATAAAGAGTTTGCTTCAGGCACTCTTAGCATCAAAGTCACCTAACATTTGCCCGGCTTAGGGGGTGGGGAAAGTTTATATTAGTTTGCTAGGCATAATAGAATATCATAGACTGGGTGGCTTAGACCACAGACGTAGATTTTCTCACTGTTCTGGAGGCTGGACGTCCGAAATCAAGATGTAGTCCGGGCGTGTTTCTCCTGGGCCTTCCTGGCTGCCTTTTGCTGTGTGCTCACATGGGTTTTCCTCTGTGCATGCACGTGTCTATGTCCAGATTTCCTCTTTGTATGAGGACACCAGTCAGATGGGATTAAGGCCCGCTCTAAGACCTCATCTTAACTCTGTAAAGATCTTGTCTCCAAATGCAGTTACATTCTGAGGCACTAGGGTTTGTGACGGCAACACGATATTTTTGGGGGGAAGGGGTAAAATTCAGCTCCTAAGAGGGGTCCAAGTAAAGGTTACTTGTAAGATGCCACACCTCGAAAAATGTGTGTTCCTATTCCGTATGTAAATCAGTCAGGTTTTTATTTTTGCACATAAACATCTTTCCTAAAAACAGAGAGCCCTGAGAAAAATGTCCAAACACTCTGTCTATTCATTGTTTTTTAGGAGTCATGAGTCTTTGGTTTGGCTCAAGCAAAATCATGTGTGAAATCCAATAAATGGGAAGTCTTTATTGCTCAACCACTTTTGAAAAATATCTATCATTGAGGCCAATTTTTTTTTTCTCCTATCAGGTCTCATGATTTTCTACTGAAACCAACTCTGGAGGAAAAGGCTTAGGTTGGCAGGAGAGTGTAATACCGGCCAGTGGACGCTAGATGACGCCCCGGGTAGAGGCAGGGAGGAAACAAAATGTCTGCAGGCTCAGCTGGTATGCGTTTGGTCATTCTTGAAGTTGGATTTCTTCAATCAAAATGAAACCTACTGCTCTGACTCTAATGGAAAAGTCAGGGGTTTTGTTTGTTTGTTTTTTAATGGTAATGAGCAGTATGTAATCTAATCGAGGAATCATAATTGATTGATGCTGAAATGATTACTACCAGGCGCTCTCGTTTTTCTGTTAAATATCTTCAGTGGCTGTTCTCTTTGGGAGAGCACGTGCTCCCTAATCTCCTCCCCTCGTTCCCGCAGGGCTCCCTGCCTCCCAGGTGCAGGCTCTCCCTCCGCAGTGACTGAGCAAAGTGTCACGTTTCTGCTGAGTACACTAGCATGTCTGTAGGCGGGGCACCGTGTCAATTGAGTTGTATGGCACAATGTTGGAAAAAGAGGGGCTTCCGCAGAGAAGGAGATGAAAAGGTGTTTGTGACCTGTAATGCTTTTTATGCCAAATTCCCCAGGCCAAGAACTGTGGCGCTGCACCTTAATTTAAGTTCTGGGTTTGGAGCCGTGCCGCATCAGGATATTGCTACAGAAATGACTCCCACAGCTTCTCATTCATTTGTTCCCCTGGGGTATTGCCAGGTTGGGAGAGGGGGGCTGTAGGTTACAGCGGTGTCTCCTCCATCTTAGTGTACAAAGGAAAGGGCAGGACAACAAATGGTTTACGCATTACTTGAAAATGTTCTCCTAAACCATCCATACTGTCTTTAGTCTATGGGGTCTAGAGTCACATCAGGCTTATCTTTTAACAGAGCGCTCTGCACTCTTATACTCACTGGGAAAAGCTGGATTGTGCAGTGATTCCCAATCCTGGCTCCATGTTTCACCATTCGTGCTGGACGGTCTCCAACTATTTCCCCTCCCCATTGGTTATTTGTCCTTCTCTGCCCTGTGCAGACCCCTAGAGGCTGTTCTTTGTGACATGCTCCAGTCCCTGTTCCCCTCTCTTGCCCTCTTCTTAGCTGGGCTTGGCCATTGGATGGAAGGGAGAGAAGTGAGGGTGTCTCCCCCTGCTGGCAGTGGTGGGTCCTTCTGGGGCCCCAGCTCCACTTAGGCAGCCCCGAGCCCTGCTGCTAGCTCTCCCTGGTTTGCTAGAACACCACTTTCTGCCTTTGCCCCTTCAGGCTTCAGGGTGAAACGGCTTCCAACTCTGCTAGCCCTAGTTGGTTTGTTTATGCCTCCCCAGGCCTCTGTAAATCGTCTCTTCATTAAACTGTCTTCTGTCAGCCCTTTGAGGGGCTGGCTCTTTCCAGCAAGCCTTTGTTTGAATCACTGTCCAAGCAAAGTGGGGTTCATAGGTGAACTCTTTGAGCCTCCATTTCCTTCTTTCTAAAGTGAAAAAATTTATGGCTGGGTGCAGTGGCTCAAGCCTGTAATCCCAGCACTTTGGGATGCCAAGGCAGGAGGATTGATTGAGGCCAGGAGTTTGAGACCAGCCTGGATAACACAGTGAGACCCTGTCTCTACAAAAAACAAGAAACAACAACAAAAAAGCTAGCTAGATGTTGCGGAATGCACCTGTGGTCCCAGCTACTCTAAGAGCTGAGGCAGGAGGATCCCTTGAACACAGGAGGTTGAGACTGCAATGCGTTGTGATCCTGTCACTGCACTCCAACCTAGATGACAGAGGGAGACTCTGTCTCAAATAATAATAATAATGGGAAAATTACTAATACTACATACCTTATTGGTTGTGAGGATTAAAACTAGTGGCATTCAAAAGGTATTCATTTCACATAAAAGATTCCACTACCAGCAAAATGAATGGCATAAGGCAGGTACTTGATAAATGTTTTTATTCATTTATTTTGACTTTTTTATGAATGGAGAGATTAATGAATTCACACTGAAGCACCTTAGGTTTGAACAGTAAGTCAGTGAGTGCTGTGCTCACCTGATGCCAGTGTGCAGCATGGTTCAGAGCACAGACTCTGGTGCCAGCCTCCCGCGGGAAATCCTAGGTCTTCCCAGCTCCCTGTGAGCAGTCTGTGCCTCAGTTGCCTCATCTGTTCAGTGTGGCTGGTGTTAGGAGCCCTCCTCCTGTGGGTGGAGAGAGGATGGATGGAGTCATGTGCATCACGCGTATGTTTCTGATGTTTTCTGGGACGTAGGAACCAATGCTGCCCCCTCCTTCCGTCTTCGTGGCTCCTCCCTTCATAATGGAAGCTGCCGAAGTCCAGCTGCTGTTTGCGCATGTGCAGACCCAGGATCCTCTGAGACGAAGCAGCAAGGTTCAGCGGGAACCCTGCAGGTGGCTGGGCTCACCGGAAGGGAGCAAGGGTCTCATCTGTCTTAGTAGTAGCTTGAGACTGGCCCCTGCATCTCCATGGCAGGAATTTAGAAGCTGTGTGAGGACAATGGAGAGAAGGGACTAGACCCAAACTCTTCACTCAACAGGGGGCAGGCTGGGATGTTCTGGACCACATGCTCAGAGTCAGCAGTCAGGCCGGATGGAACAAGAGGTCGGTGGCTGGACTACATGGCCGTCTCTTGGGCTATTTGGCCTTCATTCCGCCTGGGAGGATGACGGGGCAGGTCCCTGGACAGAGCGGCTTCTGGGCTTCTGGACAATCTCAGGCTGCTCTGTGGCCGCTGGAAATGAAAGGGTCTTGCCAGTCATGTTTTGCCTTCCTGCTAAAGTGGAGAGTTGTCCTGTCCATCCTCAAGGCCCCCGATGTTGGCTGGAATTTACCATATACTCTTGTAGCTTCATTTATTACCACTCACTTCTGCGAGGCTGGAACAGACCTCATCGTGTTTGTCATATGAGTGCTCAGGGTTTCCATCACGCTGCAGTCCAGGGGGTGCCATGAATATCTGCTGAGTGTTGCTGTCACAGAGAGAGGGGAGCTGGTTGTGACCGCCCAGCCACCAGTGTTTTTGTGGGTTTCTGGCAGGGCCGGTGGGACCACACTGCAAGTGAAACTTCTGTTAATAATATCTCAGTGCTTTATTAACTAAATTCCTAAGATAAGGTCCAGAAAGACCCGTGTTAGACAGAAATTAGCACCGCGTTGCCTAGGATTCCCAAGAACAGCGAGTGTGCTGTCAGGACTGAACCACCTCGCACCTGCCTTTGTGTAGCATGAACACCTGAATGCGTTGAATGCTTTTGAATGAGTTACCGTTTCTTCACTCTTGGAACTTTGCATCTCTTTGCCATTTTTGTTTCCTGTTCACAGACCCTGTCTGATTCTCCCATGCCTTTCCAAAGTTTGGATTGTTAGCACTAGAATGATTATTTCTTGGTAAATTCTTTTATTCTTAATTTCTTAAATTCTTTTAGCATAAATGCACATACATAAATTATGTTAGAGTTTACGCTTTTTTGTTTTACAATAGTGTTTTATTTACAAAGTCACCTCTGAGCTGAGATATAATCTGACCTCCTGGGGTTTTGTATGTTTATCCCATTATTCACATTCTGTGTCCTTAGCTTTTTGCAGATTTTCAAGTGGGCCACCTCTCCTTGTCCTTATTGCGTGTCAGCTTGTTTTTGACAAGTCATTTTTCTGATCTTAGAAAGAGTCTTTGACATCTCAGCCACTGTGCCGAGAAGGCAATGTCCCTTCTCCCCTCCTCCTTATGTTCCCCGCAAATTTAATGAGATGGTCTTCGATTTCCTCGCTTCAGCTGCGGGTGGACGTGTGAAGCGGCCCATGCTCCAGGCCTGATCCCTTTGGAGGGACCCCCATGGAGCACCTGCCTGGAATGAACTGTGACTTTGACTTCCCCTTCTGGCCTCTTGGGCCACTAAGATTTCTGCTAGGCTCCTTTTCCTTGCAGGCTAACCCCAAGGGCCTGTGACGTCAGAACTCCATCCCCAGTGCCGTGCCAAGGTGAGTCTGCTTCTGCTGGGGTTATTACCAGATGAAACCTCAGGGAGGAAGGCCAGGTACTTCCTGAACATCATGGAACACGAGGCCCAGGTGACTCAGCGAGGTCAGAGTCTGCTGTGGTGGCGGCAGTAGGCAGGTGGGAGCCTGGAGGGAGGTGGGGCGTTAATGACTGCCTGCCTGCTCCCGGACCCGCCTACCTCTCTGCTCTACCATGCCTGTGATTTCATCATGCACACCTTTGTAAACAATCCATTTAGCAACGAAATTATACGCTGGGTAATTACAGCTTCCAGCCTCATGTCAGGAGTCCCCCGCTCAACAGCGTGCTCCTGGTGATACTGCAGCCCGGAACGGGGACTGGCTTTGCTAACGTCCTGACGAGACATCGGGGAGAGACGGGATGTGGCAGGTGGGGTGCCTTGACTTATGTTAATTGTCTATGTCAGGCCTGCGGGTCTTGTTTTGACAGTCCTGAAATTGTGTTTGGACTGCTGATTAGATCAATATGGGAAACCGGGCCAGGGGAGTTTCTCTGTGAGGGAAAAGCGATCTGGGTAAGATCAAATCCTCAGGTGTGAAGGAGGGAGTCTCTTTTCACAGCCCACTTCACCTTCCCGTCTCACTTGGAGCTGCCCCTCTCTGTGCCAGCCGCAAAAATGGACCCGAGAAACACGGCAGAGGGTAGGAGCTACAGGGTGGGCAGTGTCCCAGCAGGGGACAGGACTGCCTTGGAGGCCAGCCCATGCGTTTACAAGGATGTGTTCAAGGTTTAGTCTGAGCCCTCACTTTGTGGCTTTACAGATGATTGTTTTAATAGGGCACAGTGAGGAGGGAGGGGCACAACCCCGGAGATGGCAGCAATGGGGGTGGCTGGGAGACATGGCCACAGCTAAAGACAACCTGGGCATGGCTCTGAGCCAGCAAAGGAGGGTGTTTTTCTCAGATTTATTAAAAGTGGTAGCTGCTAGTGATGCTTGGGTTTATAACCTTAACATTTATTTATATCTGATGATTTCCCCTGCTTCCTTTTTTTTTTTCTTAAAGATAAAGTCTTGTTCTGTCGCCCAGGCTGGAGTGCAATGGTGCCATCATGGCTCACTGCAGCCTTGAACTCCTAGGCTCCTGCTTCAGCCTCCTGAGTAACCGGGACTACAGGTATACACCACCATGTCGTGCTAATTTTTAAATGTTTTGTAGAGATAGGATCTCACTGTGTTGCCCACGCTGGTTTCAAACTCCTAGCCTCAAGCAATCCTCCTGTCTCAGCCTCCTGAAGCCCTGGGATTACAAGCATAAGCCACCGCCCCCGGCCATATCAGATGATTCTTTACATCTCTGCTGACAGATTTCATCACTGGTGCTGAGTGCAGGGAGTCCCGCAGCCGCTTATACGTGTTGCATTGTGAGGCAATACAGGCCTGTGTGACTTGCTATTCTATGGCTGGGCTTCTGTCTGCAGACGCCTGGTTTCTCCACTGCCAAGGCTCATGGTCTGACGCATCCATGAAAGTCAACAGTGAGGATGCAATGACAATGCGTCGTGCATGAGCGTTCCCGGACCTCGCTCCCCTGCCCATCAGAGAGGGCTTGGCATCTCAACTGACTCGCCCTCTGCTGCCCTGGAAGGGGGCCGCCATGGTCAGAATGCCCCTCTGCTTACTTAAGCTATGGCTGGGGAGGAGTTCTTCAGGAAACCTTGAGGAGAGAGGTGCTGGAGTATGAGGAAAATAGATGGAAAGGGAAAGAAATTTAAGGAAGTGTATCTGTGGGCCACGTGTCTCTGTTATAGCATTTGAGAATGCATATAAGGAACTTCAGTTATTTTGCGATGACTCTTGTTGCTGGGTGGTGATTCTTAACTCCACCCCTGGTTGAGTCTTGACCGCAGGCATTGCAGCTTCAGTGAGATTACGGAACACCAGTGCACAGAAGCAGTACACGGTAACTGACAGTTAGACAACAGTCACATTGCCCCTTGTGTTTCTGGAAAGCCTGGGAACACAGGTGGTCTGGCTCAGTTCATATCCTTGGGAGCTTTAGCACACAAGCAGACCCAGAGATACAGGCTTGGATCTGAATCCAGGAGGCCCAGCAGGAACGGACGGGAAAATTCATTTCTCTCGGAACGTCTCAGCACATGTTCATGAAAGCTCTATCTCTAGGGCCGTGTTCACTGTGCATTCAGGGAACTCTGCCCATTGTTTTTATGTCCATTTCTGTAACTGTCAGAACTCTGATCCCATTTTAAAATTTGCCTGAGTGCTTCCTCAAATGCAGTGGATAATTTGCTTAACTATACTATTAGCATAAATTTGCATATTTATTTCATAATTAAAATGAGTAAGAATAAAAGGCTAATTACACCAAAATTGCATGAGTCACCGTAATTAAAGCTGTAGAAAATAATTTTACTTATACATTTCAAAATCCTGAGTGATCTGTTATTCATCATCACATGCTCATTCTCATCTTACCTGTAGTGCATCCTGAATGCTAGGGTGGGAGGACTCCAGGTACGATGGAGCTGGAATTGGAAGGTGTTCTTGGACCTCAGGGAGACTAGAATCAGATGGAGGGAAGAAAGTCAATCCAATGGATTTGTGTAGAAATCACACCCAAACCAAATGGTATCAGGCACAGGTATCTTTGGTAGTATTGGCAAGGCTCTAGGTCGCATGTGGGGTGATGGGTTTATTCTTATGTTTCATAATCAAATATTATTATTGGGTTCATAATTGAATCAATATTATTGGATTATTTTAATGTCCTGAATATGACTACATTTTTTGAAGAAGACGATAATAAGCAAATGTGTTTTTGAGTTTCCTTTTAACTTCTAATCCATCCTGCTTTTTGTCACCAAACAAGTCTTCCTAAAACACTGATTTTAACCATGTCATAGCCTGAACACAGTCATCAGTGACTCTACCTGTAGACAGAGTTCCACCTTCCTTACCTGGCATTTGAGGCTCCCAACTTGTTTTTCTATGTGTACTTTCTTCACAGACTCTTTCATTAAATAAGCTACCCTCACTGTCCTGTGAATGTGATTTTCGTGTTCTTAATACTGCACCTTTGCTCACACCATCATCCTCACCTCCCCTGATAATTCACATCAACACTATTAGGCACTTACTGTGTGTCAGACACTCTTTTTCACTAGGAAAAGAAAGAAATGGTCCTCATCCTTAGTCTTTCCAGGCCCAGCTCAAATACATTCCCATTGATTGATTCATTCATTCAAGATGCAGTATATCTAATCTAGGACCCTGTTCTAGAAGCTGTGAGGGAAACGGGGGTTGAGTGAGAACCAGTTCTTTCCCTCCAGAGGCCCCAGGCTGGAACTCTCTTTGGTTCCCTCCATGAAACTTGATGCTCTCCTTTCCCCACTGAAACCCATGGAAATCCAACCTTTCTCAGAATTTCTAATGGAACAAAGCAAAAACTGACTCAGGTGTTCCTTTTATTACTTGATTGTCTAAGGTTGGGCAAGATAGAAGAGGAAAGGACTCTATCTCACGGCATGTCCAGAAGAGGGCAGGGCCATCCCTGCAGTCAGGCCTCCTGGACCCTGGAGGTAGGAGGGGGACGATGGCCTCTAAGAGCGCTCTGAGACCAGGAGCCTGTGCTCCCAGGCCTGAAGGCTTTGCTTTCACTGTTCTGCGCTGCCGCCCTGGCCACCTCCCCTCCACTGTGTGGCTGACTCTTCTCTGCCTTCTGCTGCCTGATGGGATCTCCCACTCCCCTCCACAAGGATCTGAGAGGGAAGGGTGCTGAGGAGAGGAGCGTGGAGTGGGCAGGCTCTTGATGCCAAGCCAAGAATCTGCATGGTTCATTTGAAACTTCTCAGTACCCTTTATCCCTTCTTCTCTTTTATGTATAAGCTCGTCTTTCTCCCATACAGTTGTAAACCCCAAAGGGTAGGGACTGTATTCTGTTCCTTATTTATATCCTGTAAGACAGTGACTCTCAAACTCATCAGAATCATCTGGGGAGTTTTAAAAACTTGATTCCTCCAGAAACCGTAAAGACCAAAGATTTTAAAATATCACCATACTAAAACAGAACGAAGCAAAAACCTTCTGTAAAGCTAAACAAGCAAACTCATGAATCAGTCGGAAGAAATTATAAACAAGGGGAAAACAGTATTTGGAGCACAGATGGAAGACGCACTAATTTCTTTAATTTGCAACGAATGTCTATAAATAAGAAATATACAAACAACTCAGTCAATGCTGGGCCAGGAATCTGAACTGGCAGAACATGGAAAAGAAATACCAATGATCAAGTAACGTGAAGAGCTGCTCATCCTTCCTCAGAAGTAAAGAGATGCAAATCAGAACAATGCCAGCCCACTTTTCATGAATCTGATTAGCAAAAATTATGAAGTTTCATGATGCCCATTGTTATGAGAGTATGGAAGCAGATGCCAGTGAATGCAACCTTGGTGGATTTTGGCATCTGTGCGACAAGGTGGGGCGGTGGCTCTCACACCTGCTTGAGCTTCTAAATCACATGATGAACTTTTGAAAACAATGATTACCAGCACCCCCACCCCGTAGCGCCATAAGACACCCATATGTAACTAAGGGCACCATTTGTGAAGTTCCAAATGGTAATAGAGACCAGACTAGGAAATTTCAACTAAAGGAATTTTGTCAACATACACCAACATTTTTAAAGCATGAGTAACCTTTGACCCAGCAATTCTACTGATAGGAGCTGACTCTGAAATTTCCCACAAAAGAGTGTCAATGTCAACAAGGATGGATGCCCATGGCAGCGTTATTTGTATAGCAAACAACCTCAGTGTCCATCAATAGGAACCTGGATAAATAAACTGTGGCACACTCTTAAATCTTTTAAAGAGATTTAGTAGGAACTCCATTTGCTGATATAGAGCAGTCTCTGAGTTATGTTGTGCAATGAAAAAATCAAGCAGCAGAACAGTATAAATGGTGTAATCCATTTTCCACACAGCTTTTAAAATGATACACCATATACTTTGGTAAATGCACAAATTCTTTTTCAATGGAATATCTACAAGAAGCTGATAACAGTGGCACCTTTGAGGGAAGGATGGGAAGATAGGTTCTTACCTTTCATTCAGTACTGCTTGATTTTCCTACTTTGTGCATTGACTACTTTTGGTGGAGAACTTCAGTAAGTGTCATCTGAATGGTGGAGTTATGGGACAATTTCGGTTTCTCCTTTAGAGTTTTCTGTAAAGGATATTCAAGAATTGAAGATTCTCAGGCCATATACCAGATACACCAAGTTTGGGTGGAGATGCTGGCATGGGACTCTAGAAATCAGCTTGTCGTGTGATTCTGCTCATCAGTCAGGTTTGAGACTCACTGCAGAAGATTCTGGAAGAAAGATGCTCTCTTCTCTAGCTCAGGGGATGTGAGGATGAGAGGGTGGGGTGGGTGGCTGCAGCCCTTTTATTTCCATGAAAGGAGAACCTGAATGATCTTGTGCAACCTAAGGTCAAAGAAATGCATGGCTGGCAAGTAAACCACAGAGGGGAACTTGTCCCCTGGTACATCAGTAGGCCACAGAATCATGCCTTTCCTGAAGAAGGACAATCCTGTGTCTAGACTTTTCAGTTATGAAGCCAATACATCCTCTTTGTTGTTTAATGCAGCTTGAATTAGGTCTTTTGTCACATGCAATATTAAGAATCCTAACTGATAGACCTCCACTGAGACAAGCTGAGTATGTCTTTATCCCTTGCAGCCTGAAATTGCCTAATTTATAAAGTATTTCATGATGTTTGCAAGATAAACCCTTGTCTAGTGCCTTGGGCCACATCTGATTGCCTGCAATATTTCTGCCTCTGGAAATGAACTGTCAAACCAAGAAGTATGTCCTTGGAATGCATCCTCCACGTTAGCAAAAGAATTATGTGTTTTGTTTGCTCTTCATCATGTAACTCTTGAATAAATTTGGATGCAACAGGTTAAGGGCATAACCAGGAAATATTTCTTGTGATATAACTGATATCTGGGTTTGTTCACTTAATAATTTATTTGACAAATATGTGATGAGGGCTCACCATGAGCCGATACCTTGCTAGGCATTGGGTGGGTGTACAGTGGCGAACAAAGCAGACATGTTCTCTGCCCTCATAGAGGTTGTAGGCTAATGGGAGAGACAGATATTAAACCAATAACCAATAATCACACAAACAAGAAATTTATGCATTTAGATAACTGCATGAAATAAAAGTCCTGAGTCCTATTTGAAAGTGTAACAAGGATTTCTAACCTCTATGAAGAGGCACAGGAGAGCTTGACTCAACTTGAGAGACTGAAAAGGCCAGTGTAGCCAGCGAAGTGCATGAGGGGCAGTTCTGCAGGAAGAAGGGCTGGAGAGTCAGATGGGGGTAGAACATAGGTGCCTTGCATCCATGTTAAGGATTTTGTATTTTATCCCAAGTGAAATGGGCACCACTGAAGGCAGTGACATGGAGCAGGAGAGTGACGTAATCTGCATTGTGTTTTAAAAAAAATATATCTTTGTCTATTGTGTAGCAAATGGATCAGAGAGGCCAATAGTAGAAACAGTGAGACCAGTTAGTGGGTGTTGCAGAAATCCAGGTGAGATTTTCTGAGGCTATTTGGATTCAGGTGATGGTGTAGAGTGAAGAGAGTGGAAGAATTTGAGACATATTCTTTTAGGCAGAATCCGGAAGGCTGGGGGAAGGATTGGTTATGTGTATGTTGGCAGGCAGGAGGGAGGGAGGAAGCTGTCCAGGAGAACCACCAGCTTTCTGACTTGAGTCATTTGACTGTCTGGGGAGGGACAGTGGGACTTTGAGAGTTCATTTTGGTTTTTATTTGTGCAGGCATATCATTTTGCCAGGAGAATTAGCAGTGCCATCTTCCTGTCACAACTAATTGACCATACCAGCTCCTTATTCAAGGTAGGCTTTCCTAAACTTGTCTGAAAGTCACTCCATCATGGGATAACAAGTCTCACTCTTCTTTTAGAAGAGTAAGAAAAAATAAGGGTGGGGCAGAAGCCAGTGCAACATTAGGATAATTGGAGAAGAGAAATTGGGCGTGCAAGGTGAGAAAGTCTGGAGAATCAGCCCTTCCTTGAGACCCGACACTTTCTTAGCCTGGGCTCATTACTTCTCACGTTAACCTCTGCCCCCTGCAATGGCGTCCTCCTGGAGGCAGTGGGGGGTTGAGGGGGCAGTCCTGGAGCCATAGTGCTTTTATTTTCAATTTTTTCAGGATTTGCATTCCCTTGATATATGAATACTAGACACATCTAGGATTTATTTTTAATTATTATCTTATTTTCAACAAACTGTAGTAACAGCTGCATAAAATTTTTTTTGGAAAAAAGGAAGAAAACATACCCATGATTCTATGACCCAAGTACAACAATGGCTTCTTTTTATTATTTTTATTTTGCGTATAACCTCCCAGTCCTCAGTACATTGATTCAGTTCACCAAATTCTTTCTTTTTTTGAGACAGAGTCTCGCTCTGTTGCCCAGGCTGGAATGCAGTGGCACAATCTTGGCTCACTGCAACCTCCGCCTTCCAGGTTCAAGTGATTCTCCTGCCTCAGCCTCCTGAGTAGCTGGGATTATAGGCGCCCGCCACTGCACCCGGCTAATTTTTGTATTTTTAGTAGAGACGGGGTTTCACCATGTTGGTCAGTACCAAAGTTTTATTAAGCTCTTACTACATGCCAGGCATTGTTCTCAGCATCAGGGATACAGAAGTGAACAAAACAGACAAAAGTCAGCAAGCATGCATATTTCAAATAGTTATAGTGTAATATGCCGTTTTCAATGAAATCTTTATTAATTTTAAATGTATTTACATTTTTCTTAGTTACCATTTAATGCTTGCATGTTATGCTAACATGTTAAGAATATAATGTATTAAATCATTCATCAATGGGAACCCACAGGCTGTTTGCAAATAGGGACTAGGAATGCCATTGTACCACTGCATCCCCAGGCCCTAGCACAATGCCTGACAGACAGAAGGTGTTTGGCAAATAATAGCTGGAATGGGTCCTTGTTTCTAGTTTGGGAATAGCAATAATGCTGCAGTAATCATCTTTGTATCTGGAGGTTTTGGCTTATGTTGAATTATTTCCTGAAGACAGATCTTTTCAAACATTCCCACCAAAGTTCTAGTAGCAATAGAAAATGCACATTTGAGGGCTATAAACGGTGACTACAAAATATACATATACTGAAATATGATTAAAATGGTGGGTGTAGGAAAATGTTTGTAACCCACAGCGCTGAGTCCTTTCCACTCACTGCTGTGTACCCCTGGGGAGACTAACATCCTGATTTGACCTGCACGGCAGGTGTGAGATACATCCCTGGGAGTGGATCCTGTCGGCCAAAGGCTATTCATCTTGATAGTTACTGCTGCACATTACCATATTGCTTCCCTAACATTTTACAGCTATTTTTATTGCTACAAACATCATTGTGTGAGCAGACAAGTTTCAACTCAGTATCGCCAGAGCTGGTATTGTTAGGATTTGATTGTGTCTTCTAAAGACGTTGAAGCTTAAACCACCAGAGCTTTTCCATGTAACCTTATTTGGAAATAAGGTTTTTGCAGATGACCAAATTAAGATGAGATCATTAAGGTGGGTCCTAATCCAATACGATTGTTGTCCTTATAAAAAAGGGGGAAATTTGGACGCAGAGACAAGTGTGCAGACAGGGAGGGACCACGTGCAGATGAAGGCAGAGTTGGGGTGAAGCCTCCATAAACTGAGGAGCACAGAGACTGCCTGTGAAGCCCCAGAAGCTGGAGACAGAGGCCTGGGGCTGAGGCTGCCTCAGTCCTCAGAAGAAACCAGCCCTGCCCTCACCTTGATCTTGGGCTTCTGGCCTCCAGGATTGTGAGACAATACATTTCTCTTGTTTAAGCCTCTCAGTTTGTGGTATTTTGTTATGGAAGCCCTAGCAAACTAATACAGATGTTTTATACAAACACTTTTTTTTTTTTTTTTTTTTTTACAACCTAGTAGGTATCAAATGACCCCTCAAGCCTGCTTTGTTTTTGATTTCATAACTCGAGAGAACACACATTTTCCTGTGAGTTTATTTGCTTATTGAACTTCTACTTGACTGTGTCTTTCCTGGGATGGGGTCTGTCTCCACCAGGAATGTGCCTGGGTCAGTATGTGCTCATTAAATGAAGAATTAAGAATCCATTAATAGCCTAATTGAATGTGATTCAATAAAATATGCCTGACCAAATAAAGTACACTCTTTAATACTAACATTTCCTGTTAGCACCCGTGATTACTCTGGATTTGCTGAAACGAGAGCCGGGAGACAGTTCCTCAGAGATCATTACTCTGCCCACACCATTGAGACAGATCTGTCCAGGAGTGTGAGCTCATTATGTGTCTGTCTTGTCCTAATAGATGGCACAATCCTTTAGGGAAGGTTGGGGAGGGATTTACTCACGTTCTTAATCCCCATGCCAGCAGTGCCTGGCACACAGTGGAGGCTCCATACAAGCTTGAGATGTGAGCATGGGATAGAAAATTGCATCTGCTTCTGAGAATGTGAAAGGGGCTGTCTGAAAACTGACCCTATATTATTAGTTCGGGTACTAATGGTAGTGGCCACAGTAGACAAACTTTCAAGTCTCAGGTTTAGATCTCACTCTCAAAGCCTGATGTGGGTGAGGTGATTCTCCACTTTCTTGCAGTTACTCCTCTGCAGAGGATGAGAGAGATGGAGGCCTCCAGGACAGGGAAAGAAAGAGATGGAAGAGCCAGGCTAGCTCTTAATGACCTCAGCCTGGGCGGGAGCCCGAAACTGCTGCTCAGATTTCGTTGGCCACACTAGTCCTGCAGCCCCAACCTAACGTGGGGGGAGGAGGGGGACAGGACAAGAGGTGGAGGAGTGTAGGTGAGTGTTGTCTCTGGCACTGTTTTACTGAACAGCAACTGGCCAGATGAGTGTATTTGTGCAGGTGTAAGGATGTTCACAATGGAAATCTCTTTAAAAGGAGCTTTTTTAAAAAAATCAGCGTTTTCATCCAGGAGAGAAAAGTGAAAGATGGTTTGCTTTCGAAATGCCAGGAGTCTCCTTGAGAAAACTGGGCCTGTGGTGTCTGGACAGAGGCTAAGGGTTCCCAGTGATGGGGCTGTTGGAGGCTGGGAGGAGTTCCATGGTGGTGACCTTGCTTGGCAAGGAGGGACGGCTTCCAGTTTGGAATGTCAGGCTATGCTTCCACACCTTCTCAGCACTCAGGCTGAGGATCCTGGATGCATTTCCAATTCCAATGTCTTTTGAAATCTGTCTTTTCTCTCTGAAATAAATGACCACTATTGATGACTAAAAGCTTGCTGTTTTCACTTATGGCTCTCAGTCATTTCTAATTATGGCTCCAACCTGGATGTCTTTTTACAACTCACTTCACCAGGAGGGGACGTTGGTCTGAACAGCAGCGCGGGGTCTGGGTCTTGCTGCACGAGCTCAGCACCAAATTTATCCCTGGTTTGCTTCTCCAGTCCCATTGAACAAGGCATCCGTGATCCTTGAGTCTAAAAGTGATAGTAGTGGTCTGTTTCACAATTTTGTCACAAGGCTAAGACTCATACAACTGGAAGTGATGACAGTTTCTACAACTTAAGTGCCTGTTTCATGGATAGCCCAATGCTAATGATTTATATGTTATTTCTAAACCTTACAAAATCAGGATTATGATCATGCCTACTTTACATGTAAGAAAAATGGAAGCTTTGGGAGGTTAAAGATATAGGCCGGGTGTGGTGGCTCACACCTGTAATCCCAGCATTTTGGGAGGCTAATGTGGGTGGATAACCTGAGGTCAGGAGTTTGAGACCAGCCATACGTAACATGGTGAAACCCCATTGCTACTAAAAATACAAAAAATTGGCTAGGCGTGATGGTGCGCTCCTATAATCCTAGCTATTCGGGAGGCTGAGGCAGGAGAATCACTTGAACCTCAGAGGCGGAGATTGTAGTGAGCTGAGATTGTGCCACTGCATTCCAGCCTGGGCAACAAAGCGAGACTCTGTCTCAAAAACATAAAAATAAAAATAGAATAAAAAGAGAGCAAGGGAGGAGAATAGTAAGAAACATTAGAAGAGACATACCTTCATGAGGTGCTATGGACTGAAGGCTGTGTCCTGTCCCCTGCCCCAGAATTCATGTGTTGAAATTCTAACCCCCAGTGTGATGGTGTTAGGAGGTGGGGCCTTTGGAGGGGATTAGGTCATGAGGGTGGAGCCTTCATGAATGGGGTTAATGCCCTTAGAAAAGGGACCTCAGAGAGCTCTTTTGCTCTCTTTCTGCCATATGAGGAGACAAGAAGATGGCTGTTGTATTAGTCCATTCTCAAGCTGCTAATAAAGACATGCCCAAGACTGGTTAATTTATAAAGAAAGAGGTTTAATTGACTCACGTTCAGCATGGCTAGGGAGGCCTTAGGAGACTTACAACATGGTGGGAGGGGAAGCAAACACATCCTTCTTCACATGGTGGCAGGAAGAAGAACTGCCGAGCAAAGGCAGAAAAGCCTCTTATAAAGCCATCAGATCTCATGAGAACTCACTCACTATTATGAGAACAGCATGGGGGTAACCACCCCCATGATTCAATTACCTCCCACAAGGTCCCTCCCATGACATGTGGGGATTATGGGAACTACAAGATGAGATTTGGGTGGGGACACAGCAAATCATATCAGTTGTCTACAGCCCAGAAGAGAGCCCCATGCTGGTGCCCTGATCTCAGACTTCTACCCTCTAACACTGTGGGAAATAGATTTGTTTGTAAGTCCTCCAGTTTACAGTACTTTGTCATAACAGCCCAAACTGAATAAAACATGGAGTTACCTTCTAGTCAAGTTAGGAATTCTTGACTCAGGTCAAACATGGCCACCCTCACACACTAGGTACTTTACAGATCTTCGTGAGGGTTAGCACAATGATGAAATGTTAGGTCATTCTGTCACAGACATGTCCTGTGAAGCAGTCCAGAGCTGTTCTGGTCAGCACAGCCTTGGCACTTTTTCTTGGCACTCAGCAATCAGAACTCACTGGGTCAGGGCCACAGCCTCACTCAATCTCCGTAACAGTAACGTGAGGAGGGCACTGTGTTTAACAGAGTTTCTAATTTACAATGACTTAACTAATATAGCTATTTATCACCTAATTTAACAAGAAGCGTGGCGGTAAGGGATTCCACAATTGTGTCAGCAGTTCAACAATGCATTGGCATCGCTGAAACTCTTCGGGTCACTCACTGTGACAAGATGACCCCTGCAGGGTTGAGCGTCTCACTCGCATGTGAAAGCATCCATCTCTCGGGCAAAACCTGGCCTTCTCTTCCAGCTTACTGGCCAAATCAGGTCATGTAACACCCTGGACCAACACCTGACTGAGGGAAGGAAATTGTTGCAAGGATTCAGGGCAGGCATGATTCATTGCTACAAAGGACCCAGCTCTGAGAGCAAGGGAAGACCATAGCTACCCCAGAGCACCTGTCCACAGGGCCTGCCACAGGTGTGTTCCCAACATATGCACAAGTTAGTGTGGGTAACAGGGGCAGAGAGGTATGGACACGCAGCCTCGATGCATGGCGGGGGGGAAGATAGAGCAACTGTGCTGTGTTGTTTGAGACAGTCTTCAAAGATAAGTAGAAGTCTGTCAGGAGGATGTGGAGGGTGTGTATGTGTATGCATGCACATGTGTGTGGTGTGTAGAAAGAAAGTAAAGGGAGAGGTGATCTAAGCGGAAGGACCTGCTTGTGCAAAGTCATGGCTGCATTCATTTATTATAACCATGCATGGAGTGGAGTGGCAGAAGGTGAAGCTGAACAGGTGTGTCAAGGCCAAATGATGAAGGGTTTTCCAGATGAGATAGGGGAGGGCCGGGAGCAAAGAAAAGGGGACACAGGAGGTTACCTTATCTTGGTTACCCAGTGCCTACTATTGGCTGCTGCAGGTAGCTGTGTTTCTCACTTAATCCTCCAAGTAACTGAGTGAGATGGTGCGTTAGTTGGCTTGTGCTGTCATGACAAATTAATATAAGCTAGTAGGTAGGCTTAAACAACAGAAATTTGCTTCTCAGAGTTCTGGAGGCTGGAAATCTGAGATCAGGGGGCCAGCACGGTTGTATTCTGGTGAGGGCTCTCTTCCTGATTTGCAGGCAGCCACCTTCCTGCTGTGTCTTCACAAGGTGGGGAGAGAAAAAGAAAGAGAAGAAAGAGAAAAAGAAAAAGAGAAAGTTCTCTTCCTCTTCTTATAAAGCCACACTCCTATCAGATTAGGGTCCCACTCTGTGACCTCGTTTAACCATAATTATCTCCTAGAGACCCTATCTCCAGAGAGAGTCACATTGTGGGTTAGAGCTTCAACATATGAATCTTGGAAGGACACAGTTTAGTCCATAGCAGACCAGGATTCCCATTTTATATGTGAGAAGACTGAGGCTCAGAGAGGCAACCACTTGTCTGAGGCCATCCTGTCATCACTGGTGGATCTGAGCATCAAGGCCCCATCTGCCCAATGTCAGGGCAGGTGCAGTGGCTGCATGTCAGCACCTATAACTTCAGGCCATTTTTGGGGTCCCCAAGATTTGCAGAGGTGCCTCAGGCAAGAGCGTGTGTTTGGTGGTAGTTATGGGGAGTGAGAGACTGGGAGGGTGGGGTTTGAGGCTTTTCAGCCTGGGCTGCCAGGGAGAGCTCTGCCACCATGCTTCAAGCACATAAACTCCACTTTGATTGCTTTTATTGGTTAGGATTTGGCATAAAATTCTCTTTGATACAGTCTGTGAAGGATGGGCCTGGAACCTGGTCTCTTGACCTCAGTCAAGGACCTTCTCCAAGACAGGTCCTGGAGTCCCAGGAGGGTACTGTATTAGTTTCTCAGGCTGCCTTTAAATATGACAGCAAAACAACAGAATTTATTCTCTTACAGCTCTGGAGGCTAGAAGTCTGAAATCAAAGAGTCATTGGCAAAGTTGGTTCCTTCTGGAGGCTCTGGGGGAGAATCTGTTCCATGCCTTTCTCTTAACTTCCAGTGGCTCCAGGCATTCCTTGGCTTGTCTCTGTCTTCATGCTCACGTGGCCTTCCCCTCTGGGCTCTCTCCTCCATGTCTCTGTATCTCAAATCTCTTTCTCCTTTCTCTTATAAGGGCACCAGATGACCTCATCTCAAGATCTTCAGCTTAATTACACTTGCAAAAACTCTGTTTCCAAAAAGGGCTACGTTCACAAATATTAGGGATTAGGACTTGGACATACCTTTTTGGGGGACATGATTCAATCATTGCAGTTGGCCAATTCCAGTTTACCAAAGACAAGACTAATGTGGCTGATCAGAAAGGAGTATTTACTATTATCTGTACCCTCTGGCCCGCTATGGAGTCACTGCCTAAAACAGTAATTTATCTCTATGACCGAGGATCTCACTGTCACTAGCAAATTCTTCTGACCTCCTGGTTGGGTAGGGATGAATAATATGGCAGCAGAGGAGAGAAGCACATCATGGCGGACTTAGCACATGACACTTTAATTGCGGGTTGGTTCTCTCACCTCCCAAGTCAACCTCCCTCCTGGTATCACACTTGAACATTACCCAGCACCTGGTCCTTGCTGAGACAAGAACCTGAAGTGAGAGAACAACAAGGAAATTTGATAAAGAAAAATGAGATGTTTAACTGAGTCCCAAATTGCTTTTCTGGATGCATCATCAAATAAAATATGAAATGGAAAGGGCTGTGCTTTTAGGCAGGCTGAGACATGCCTTAAAATACAAAGTGGGCTGCTTAATGTGGGCAGAAGGAGGACTTGAAAGGCCCCCCAGGAGGAAGCTCAACCAGTCTTGGCTTCACTTGGCAGGGCCAGTGAGACCACAGGAAGTCCAGGGGCCAGTGACAGGCAGGACGCATGACAGCCCTGTGAACAAAAGTTCTCTGAAAAGGAATTTGGGGTAAAGAGACTTTATTCCAGTGAACAGTTTGCAAACCGGAGAGACGCAGGCCTCCCTGTAAAACAAAAGTGCATTCCAGAGATCAAAGGGAGGGTTCAGGTTTTATAGTTGAGTAGTTCCCACCCAGGCTCCTAATCAGGCCCACTTATGCAAATGAAGGATTCATAGTTGTTTAGTTTTGATTGGTTGATGCAGCTGAGTTCTGACTGGCTGATACAGCTGATCCCTGGTGGGTCGATGTGGTTGAGCCCTGAGAAGTTGATAGGTGAGCTCTGATTGGTTTGGGCAGGTGAGCTCTGATTGGTTTGGGCAGGTGAGCTCTGAGAGTCCCAAAGTTAAACTACAGTGTGGATTTTTTGGAGAACTGCAAACATGTGTAACCTGTAGTCAGCAAATGACTAGATGTAAAATTTAGGCTCAGTTAGTCACGTGGAATCCATCTTGAAGAACTGGCTCTTTCAGGTTCACATTTATTCACATTCCCCCCCTCAACTGAAACCTGTTCGCAGATGGCACTGATGATTGAATACGTTGATTGCATTCCATCACAGCACCAGGGTGGTTGGCTGTCTACTCCAGGTTCTTCTAGTCTTGTGTAGGGATACTAGTGGCAGGGCAAGTAGCCAGCTGAGCAACTAGAGCCATTTACTTATGAGAGGCCCTCAAGTACCTGTTAAGTGTGAATCAAAGTCTCTTGGGTTAAGTTGGTTCCAGTTTCCAGCTGGAGGGAGTTTAAGGTATCAAGGTGTTGGGTCAGCATGATTCTGGTGGGAGTCTCTTGAAGACACCTGTTAAAACAGGCTAGAACAATTTTAAAGAGGAGCCAAATGCTTAGCCCAAATATGTGAAGGGTCATTAAGACTCACAGGGCAAAAGAAATCCAATATTGGGAGGAGCCAGGTGAAAATATCTGGAAATTGGAAACTTACTCCAGTAAGTCCAGCCAAGAGGCTTTCTGAAGATGTACCTTTCAGAGACTTGGCCAGCTTTAGGATCTTAGATGTCTCTAATTCGACCTCAGAAGTGTTTACCCATGTGCGGTAGGGAATGTCAGCAACAGCACAAACACCACACTGTGCAACAAGGTGCTAGACTAAAGCAATGCAGTTGTCTAGGACCACCCAAGTGAGGGGAATCTAGGGACCTCTGTTGTGCCCTGATGGCTCAGGTGCTGGAGTGGGAAATTCTGTTAATAATGTGAGAAAGGCTTCTGATTATATATTTATATAAATAAATATATAAAAAATAAATATATATATTATATATGTATTTCAAACAGGGCCTAATCCAAACCAAGACTCCAGAAACCCTCCCTAACCTAGCTCCTTCAGTAGATAAAAAAAAAATTGTTTCACCCTCCAGGTAAATTGCATCATTCAGAGTGCCCACAACTACCATCATAATCTGAGGGGTCACCACCTATTTGGATTGTGCCCAGCAGTGTTTTACAATGACCTGTGATTCTGTGTAAGTACTTTTAAACTTTTTGACATCTTTGACAGGTTTTTCTAGGATCAAAATCCTAAATTATCTATAACCTAAAATTAACTTGAGGATTTGGAAGTTGGGCCCCTGGAGAGCATCAAAGAATTTCTCATTTTGTGGAGATATCAACTGATCGGGCTTATTTGATAAATCTTACTGGAATCACTGTCAAATAAGAAACGGTGTTTAACGTCCTTTAAGTTACATTTGTGTACATGTGTTACTAAAATGTGTTCTAGCCAGGTGTGATGGCTTATGCCTGTAATTGCAGCACTTTGGGAAAACGAGGCAGGAGGATACTTGAGCCCAGGAGTTCAAGACCAGACTAGGCAACAAAGTGAGACCCCTATCTCTACAGAATATTTAAAAATTCGCTGAGTATGGTGGCGTGTGCCTGTGGTCTCTGCTACATGGGAGGCTGAGGCAGGAGGATCACTTGAGCCTAAGAGATCAAGGCTATAATGAGTCATGTTTGTGCCACTACACTCCAACCTGGGTGACAGATGGAGACCCTGTCTCGAAAAAAAATTTTTTTAATATGTTCCAAAATCACATGAGATTTCTACAACTCCAACATCTTGTGATATGCATTGTCAGTCATGATTATAATTATCTTAAATTTTTGTATGCCACAGAAAAACTAAATTTCCTTATCAGTTGTAAATGCTCATTAGTCTCTCTCTGTCGCCCAGGCTGGAGTGCAGTAGTGCCATCTTGGCTCACTGCAAGCTCCGCCTCCCGGGTTCACGCCATTCTCTTGCCTCAGCCTCCTGAGTAGCTGGGACTACAGGCACCCACCACCAGGCCCAGCTAATTTTTGTATTTTTAGGAGACAGGGTTTACACCGTGTTAGCCAGGATGGTCTTGATCTCCTGACCTCGTGATTCACCCACTTCAGCACCATAACTCTTGATAACTCACTCACTCACCGTCACTACAACAGCACTGAGCAGATGGTCCTAAACCATTCAAGAGAACTGTGTCCCTATGATCCAGTCACCTCCCACCAAGCCCCACTGGGGATTACAATTCAACATGAGATTTGATAGGGACACAGATCCAAACCATATCACCTGCCTTTAAGAGTTTCCAGCCTTACAGTAAGTAAGTAAAAATTGTCCCTTCCTGGCAGGTCCAAGAACCTTAAAACTGTAAGTAAAATCTAAAGCCTGGCTTGGTTTGGTTTCTTAGCCTTAGGAAGTTAAGAAATTTGAGATTCCTATATGATCAATATGGAGAGAAAAGTTATGTATCTGGGGAAAATTTTCATACACCTATCATTAGATTGTAGTCCCGTGATTTTTTTTTTTTTTTTTTTAGATGGTATCTTACTCTGCTGCCCAGGCTGGAGTACAGTGGCACAATCTCGGATCTTGACTCTGCAACCTCCACCTCCAGGGTTCAAGTGATTCTCCTGCCTCAGCCTCCCAAGTAGCTGAAGTCAAAAGACTTCAAAAACACAGAAAGTTACATAGATATAAAATCCTTAAACTTTTTAAAGCTCTGTTATTCTAAGTCATAAAATACTCAATAAAGACAACATACAAAACAGAAAATTATCTTGGTCAAACACATAATATTTGTTTCCTAAGCCAATTACCTAAAAGGCAACAAAAAGAAAACCTCCTGCAATGTGATTGCTTCTCCTTACAGGAAGCCCATTAAGATAACCTGGAAGTTACACCTGATAAAAATGGGACTTGAATTTAATCAGGCATAGGAAGAGTGTGTCCAGCGTTATGGCTATGAGTGTACACCATATTATAGAGGAATGTCAACAACAGAACTGGTACCTTGAGTGGGCGAGTATGTGGTTCTTATTAACAGTATAGGGGTCTATTTTTTTTCCAGTCAGAAGTGCTGCAGGAGCATAGGCACATGGTGTGGGTGCCCCAGGAGGGACACCTCACACAGTCAGGAGCAGTGCAGGGAAATTTCGTGTGGAGGAGCTGTCTCAAAGATGGACAGGGGGCCAGGCACGGTGGCTCATATCTGTAATCCCAGCACTTTGGGAGGCTGAGGCAATCTGATCACTTGAGGCCAGGAGTTTGAGACCAGCCTCACCAACATGGTGAAACCCCATCTCTACTAAAAATACAAAAGTTAGCTGGGCGTGGTGGTGGGTGCCTGTAATTCCAGCTACTCAGGTGGCTGTGGTGGGAGAATCGCTTGAACCTGGGAGGCAGAGGCTGCAGTGAGCTGAGATTGTGCCACTGCACTCCAGCCTAGGTGTCAGAGTAAGACTTTCTCAAAATGAAAACCAAAACCAAAATATAGTGTAGGAAGTTTTCTGGTGAATATAAATTCAGGCACATTAAGAAAAGCCCAAAGTACAGAATCAGGCTGTACTGGAGAAAACACTACTTTCTAGACCTTCAAGATACACATTTTAGCATCAGGCCATAATGACAGAGTTTGAACCAGAGAAAAGGTTAAAGGAGCTGGTGAAAAGTTGAAGGAGAGGGTTAGCACTTAGCCAAGTAAAAAGATATACTTTTTCAAGGGTAGAAAGGAGAGCTGTATTTCCAATCTGAAACTAGGGAAATTAGATAGCTTTCAAGAAGAAATGTGGCAGAATTAGAAACTTTATAGTTTAAAGGATGACAGTTAAAGAAATAGATTTCAAAAATAAAATAAAAACCTCTTGCAATTTTACTAAGAACACATAAATATTTTCAGAAAACCTTGTTCCAACACAGGGGATCAAATTTTTAAATTCTACATTAGTACATTTCTAACATCAAAACTCAATCCCTAGAAAGAACTATAAACAATTTTCTTCCAATTGTAGCCAAACTGACCACACTGAACATTCGTTTTATAAACTTTGTTTTCATAAACCTTATCATGATTTACTTAGATCACGTATGACATGCTTGGACTTTCCACTTTGTCCAATGCTTCCTTTTTCTTAAATAACAAGTCATTTTACTGTAGGACAAAAATGTATTGCACAAGACTCTCATACAAAATTATTCTCTTATTAGCCTTCGTTTCTAAAAACACATCCTCATTTCCGTATACACTTTGCATATAGAAATGTTTTTTCTTATATCTAAATTACAATGGTAACTCTTAGTAACCTTAATTTTTAATAAAAACTCCAGGAAATGAGTATGTTAAGGTGTCAGATATGTACTATTTGTGGGTACACATTTTATAATTTTTAGAAACATAAGCTTTCTAACAGAACAATTTTTAAATGTGAAGCAGGACATTTACTAACAAATCTAAGTAGCTTCTTTTCTCTGAAATAATAAGCCAAAAGTATAGAAGCCTAAACTGATATTCAGCAATCAATGTCTTAGCATTAACTTCTTTGGAAATAATCTAGATATTTAATGAATATCTATCATTTAATTTAGCTTAGCAAAACTCTAGGGGAAGAGTTACTAAAGAGATTTGAGAAACCTTTCCATGTAAACATATTACAAAACATCCATTATCAAAAGTTCATTTACTAAACTTTCATCCCATTTACAAACATTTAATTCATTTACTTAATGTATTTAGAAAACTTCGTAAGACACTACAAGAATCTAGCAACTATCCCAAGCTAAATTTTCTATCAACCAGTTTTATATTACTCTCTGCCAGGCAGGTATCATAAAAGCAGGAACCCTAAAGTGAAATCCATGCATACTTTGCTGATACCGCAGAAGATACAGCCCCATCAAACCAACAATATTAGACTAGTCCCATCTGCCAAAAGATTACCTAGTTACATGAATTTGAAAAGCAACTGGGCTCATTTGTTTAATATTCTAGTATTCATTTATTTATAAACCAATTTGGTGTCATGTAGACCAGTGGTCCACAACCTTTTTTAGCACCAGGCACTTGTTTCATGGAAAGCAATTTTTCCACAGATGGGGTGGGGGATGCTTTTGGAATGAAACTCTTCCACCTCAGATCGTCAGGCATTAGATTCTCATAAGGAACACACAATCTAGATCCCTCGCATGTACAATTCACAATACGGTTTGTGCTCCTATGAGAATCTAATGCCACTGCTGATCTGACAGGAGGTGGAGCTCAGGCCGTAATGCTCGCTTGCCCACTGCTTGCCTCCTGCTGTGCGGCCCAGTTCCTAACAGGCCACAGACCAGTACCAGTATGTGGCCTGGGGGTTGGGAACCCCTGATGTAGACAATATACAGACATGTATACATATCTGTACATAAAAATGGAGAGAGACACAAATAAAGACCTTATAGCTTTAATTTTAAAATTTTAGCTACGAGTCAGGTAAAACCCACTAGTTTAAAAGGACAGTTGGACTCAAACAGTATCTCTGTAAAAGGAACAAGCTGAAGTTTATCTGTTCCACATGGCTGAAGCCCTTACAGAATTTTAGAGAAAACAGAGTAGCAAGCAGAGAGAGAATTCAAGTGTCTCAAGAAGTCTGAGGGTATTAGAGAAGGACCAAAATGGATGCTAAATCTACACAAAATGACAGGAATCATCAGAGGATTCCACAAGGAAATACACAGACAAGTCCAGAGAAAATGTAGAAACTTTTTCAAAATAACAGTTGAAAGAGTGAAAGAGGACGGAGGGAGTGAAGGATAAAGCAGAGGTGGCAAAAAAAGGTGCAGAGGATGGCAGAGTGGCAGGAACGGGGTTAGTGGGAGATTTTTATTTTTATTTTTATTTTTTTTTTGAGACAGAGTCTCACTCTATCACCCAGGCTGGAGTACAGTGGTACAATCTTGGCTCACTGCAATCTCCACCTTCTGGATTCAACCAATTCTCTTGCCTCAGCCTCCCGAGTAGCTGGGATTACAGGTATGTGCCACCATGCCCAGCTAATTTTTGTATTATTAGTAGACAGGGGGTTTCACCATGTTGGTCAGGCTGATCTTGAACTCCTGACCTCAGGTGATCCACCTGCCTCAGCTTCTCAAAGTGCTGGGATCACAGACATGAGCCATTGTGCCCAACTGAAGAGAGATCTTTCAAAGACATTTAACAACTTTGGCTTCAGTCTCCTCAGGGCTAATCTGTCTTTCTGCTTCATTAAGATACTCAGTTTGGAATTATTTTATCTAAGAAAGGCAATGGTAACTTCTTCATTCCATTTAGAACTTTCAACACGCCAATTGGGCTTCTTATAGCTTCTGGTAAATTCAGTGTCTTTGTTCTAATTGTGTATGCATATAGGCAAGTCTAGGAATTCAAAAAAGCCCCCCCCCCGGCCTTTTTTGTTTTACCAACAAAGTTTAAGATTATCCTGGGTAACTTTTGTCCAGAGACTGAGCCAATTACAACTCCCTGGAACATAATTTTTGCTCATAATGCCATTAAGTGCATTCACATTGTTGTGCAATCTTCACCACCGTCTACTTTCAGAGCTTTATCTTTCCAAACTGAAACTCTGCACCCGTTAAACAGTAACTCCCCATTTCCCCCTCTCCCCAGCTCCCTCTTCAACAATTTGCAAATAGCTGGTTGACATGGTGCTTGCTGGGCTTAAGATGAAAGGCATTACAAGCAGCTGTGTGAAAGCAAGATCATGAGGCAGGTAGAGAAGGGCATCAGGGTTCCCTCCTCATATATTGCTTTCCTCACCAACTCAAAGCACGGCCCTGCTAGTACACCTGCGCCCATCCCCTGCCAGCCCACACCCCTGTTAGAATTCAGCCATGCCTCTGCTGCTCGGACAGGAATTGTAAAACAGAAGGAAGAAAAGGCCGCCTGTCCTGCTATGGTATCTGTCATTGCCTAAGAGAAGAGCAGCATTTTAAAAGCGGAATAACATAGCAACGTTTCCCAAGCAATCTTTTTTTTTTTTTTTTAATATCACAGCGGGTCTCACTGTCTGAAATAGCCCATCCATGCAGTTAATGCTTTGGGGAGGAGCTGACAACGTGCTCTTTTTCCACAAAAGCCATTGTCATTTCCATGTCCTCAAATTCAACCCTCACATTCTACCAAGAAGGAAACTGCTGTGGGTTGGTGTTCCTCAAGTTTCGGATCCATTTAAGTTTCTGCTGTGATCAGCGTGGTTCTGCAGCATCAGAGGATTTAAAAATCTGGACTAGGGTATACAGATGCGGTCCACTTGGGAACCTTCATGGGAATAAATTAAATACAGGTTCTACTGGAAACACAGCTTCCGTGTTCGCAAGATGCCTTCAGGTGTGCTGAAGAGTCTGACTTGGTTCTTTTTACCTCATGGGCTTCCCAGGCTAAGAATCTTCATACTCTCTTAATAAAACAAACAAAATGGGAGTGGGTGGATGCTGATTCAAGGAGAGCCATGTTTCCAACAGTGAGAGGGCTCAAACTTTGGTCACAAGTTTCCATCATTGTGTGGAAAGCACTGGGAAGGTAAGAGTCGTGCCTCTCCCTTCGCG